GAATATCTGGGCTACCTGTTCTTAACATCTAGATATTTCAACAAAGTACCTGTTTTTTGTTTGTTTTAACACATCATTATATCTATTAACCGCATAACGTATTTACGCGCGTTTATCAAGCGTTTACATCCTTTCTCTGTACAAGTTACAAAAAAGTACAGTCAGAGATATCGTGATGGATGGCAATATGCATTGAAAAGAACGATTATTAATTCGAATATTGATTCCTGAACTGTTAAATTCTCACTTGAGGCCACTCAATATTTATCATCAGGATTGATAAAAAAAATAAGAAACAGAAACTTGTTGAAATACTTTGTATTGAGAATTTGGCAAGACTATAATTTATGAACGAGCCAATCAGATTTAAGATAGCAGATCTTGGAATTGGACGCGAAATTCATTCACTCATTTGATTAAATACCATTTTGGAATTATAGCTTATGTCAGTTCGTGATGAAAACATTAAATCTAATTCTTAAGCCTAACATTCAACTGTAAATCCTAATTCTTTACATTAGTCTATAACTCTCATTTAACTAGAATAAGAAGGCGGACATTTCAAGGTCATTTTGGAGTTGTTTAAAGGTCATTAATAAATTATAGTCTCACCAAGAATTTTATATTATACCAAAAATATAATATTAAATGAACCCATTGATAATAATAAGTGCTTTTGTAGAATGCTTTGGATATTTGAAATTATCAGAAGGGGTTAGTGAAGATTTTAGAAATTTCACTGGTTGAAATCATGAATCAATTGAAGCTAGACCACTATGGACAAATTGGAAGCACTGGACGGCCGTTTCGCCTCAGTATGGGACCCCTCAACAGTGCGTATCCTTGATCCCGCCCCCCGCGAGATTCGAACCCAGTACCTATCAGTCTCGCGCCAGGCACTTAAGCAACTAGTCCGCTGAGCCGGCATCCGATGGTGTTAATATCTAACTTCAACCAATCCACGAAGTTGCGCTACTGTATACCATTGTCTTCAACGAGCTGATATCTCACAACAGACCTGGTTGAACTCCAATGGTAACGGCTTTTCCATGGTGGTCTAGCTTCAATTGACTCATGATTTCAATCTGTAATATTTAAAATTGTTAGGGACAATTGATTTTATCTGTCATTATAGTATAAAAATGATAATGTTAAAATGTATTAGGTGTTCCCGCTTTTATATTTGAATATTACATAACACTTAAGTTAGTCAGTTCTTCTTTTAAATTGACTTTGTTGATAGTAATCTCTTAAAGAATTCATTACATCACTGATTTACTGATTTAATAATTGGCGGCTTGTTTAAATATCTGGGCTGTCTATTCCTGTCATCTAGATATTTCAAAAAGTTATCTGTTTGTTTGTTTGTTATAACACATCATTATGTTTATTAGTTGCACAACTTATAAAGATACTTTTTTTAAAATCTTACAACCTTCCACTGTACAAGTTATAAAAAAAGTACAATCAGCTACTTTATGGTGGTTATCAATATGAATTAAAAAGAGTGTACATTACTTAGATATCGATGCCTGAACTGCTAATATCTAACGGGTAACCACTAAATATTTATTGTCAGAATCGATCAAGAAATAGGAAACAGATACTTGTTGAAATACTTTGTGCTGGGGAATCTATATTGTACCAAATATATAATATTTCTTTCATATCAATATAACTGACAATGATGATTCTCTTATAATTTCATTTCTTTAATAAAGGCTTTTCTCAAAGTATGTATACATTTTCTATCAACCAGTTGATAGATCTAGAAAGTAACTATTAACCTGTATAAATGTATACTCAGATTATTCATATTATGTAATAATAATAAAATTTAAAATAATAATACCGCGAAAATTAAAATTAATTATCCTATTATTAGTTTATCAAATTATTATTATAATACATGATCCAGAGGATTTTAACTCGAAATATATAAACTATTTGAGTCCCATAGTGAACATCAACTCTGAGATGCAGGTACATCCAGCTGACGAGTCCCAAATAGAAGGAAACGCGCGTCCTGGATTCCACTGCTAGCCACTATCCATCATTGCTTACAAATAGCTTGTGAATTAAGGTAATATCGAGGCATACGCACAGTATGCATATATGCTAATAACAGACTGATCAATTGCAGTCTTAAACCTCAATGGGAAGATACAAGCCAAACAATACCAAGTGAATCCAAACAGTACCAAGTGTATTTCCTGTTCAGATTCTGTAAGATATTTTATGTATTATATCAATTTACTTTGTACTCATTGTATATTTGTTAATTATTCAAATAATTATCACTCAATTAATTGATTTACAGCATAGACTTATATCAAAGATGGATGATGGCTAGCAGTGGAGTCTAGGACGCACGTTTCGTCCTATTTGGGACTCGTCAGCTTAAAAAGTTTGTGACTTAAGGTTATATCGAGGTAATCTACACAGGATGCACATAAGCCAATATGAGACTGATCAGTTGCAGTCTTAAATAATAATGAGAAGATATAAGTAAAACAATACCAAATAAATTTATAAATTTACATTATTAAAACTTTTCAAATTTTACTATAATTTCAATAGTTGAATTGATCTAAGCTAGATCACTATTAAAATACCTGTAAGCATTGGACGTTTGATTCGTTTTCATATATGGCTCCTTAGCAGTATATAACCACTACTCCACACACGAGATTCAAACACTTAAACCCTTGAACCATCATTCAACAATATTCATGTCTAACTTCAATCTGTCCATGATTTTATACAATCCTTTATTCATCTAATCATTTATTACCCTTAACACATTACAACTGAAATCTTTATCTATATTAAATGTTGCTAACGATTATTATATAAGAATGGAATAATTAAGGAAAAAAGTAAGTACAATATTGAACTTTTAACAATATTAATAATATATTATTTACATAGATAATATAAATTTTATAATAAAAAAATTTAATCGATATTCAATATTTCAATAACATATTCTACTCACTAAATCAATATTCAATCAACAAATCACAGAATGATCAATTGATCAAAAGTGTAAATTTAAATAGTTTCTACGTAGAAACAATAAAATTAAAACAAAAAACAAAAAAAGAGAAACTAACTGGAAAAAAATGAAGGTTTTCGAAAAAAAAAACGAGTAGTGTTCTCTTTTTTTTGAAATTTTTTTATTTTTTTTGAAAAGAGAAAAAGTTACTTTGCTTTGTATTTTTAAAAAAAATGTGTAAATTATTCAATTTATATACATAAATAAATAGAAACTAACCCAGTACAATAATGTTGACTGTATATATGTATACATATATATATATATATATATATATGTTAGTAGGTTTGTCCTTTTAATGTTATAATGTTATATCTGATAAGTTTATCTGCATAGTAACTAATGATAATTAAGAATTTTGAATGTTTCCGTAACAACAACAAGAACAACAACCACAAAAATAAAAATAATTTATTTAATCATTTGATTCATTTAAAGTAATAAATTAGTAAAAATTCAATAATTTTACACATTATTAATGTGTTCTTTTTTGATATTCATAGAATATAATTAAATGGAAGCACTGAATAATTGATTGATTTAAGCAATTGATATCAATATGAGTAATTGTTTATTTGTTTTTATATTATTTAATAGAAAAAATCATAATTTTTTTTAAATTTTTAATTTATAAACGATGAATAGTCTCATTTAAATGATCATTATCATCAATAATGAATTTAACTGATTTCGCCATATTATTATCTTCTTCGTCTTTCTCTACCTCTCTCTCCTTTACCTGATCATTATCATCATGTTTTGATTTCATCTTTAATTCATTATTATCATAAATTTGTTTATTTTGTTCTGCTTTAATAAATGCTTTTAATTTATCAATATCATCATCTTGTTCTTCATTGTAGTTTTTCTTCAATTTCTTCATCTTCTTCAGTTAAATAAGCTTTATTATGTGTTCCATTGAAATTAATTTTATCTTGATTATTATTATTCATATCTGAATCAATAGTTGATCGTTTTAAATGTTTTAAAGCAAGACTACGCGATCTCATGACATCTAATAATGCTTCATCAAAATCTAATTGTCTTTTCTCTTTTGGTGCTATACTTGGTCTACGTGAATAACGTAATGCTTGTTTAACATCTGGTGTTATATTTATATCATTTGTTAATGTAGATAAACGTCTACGTGTTACATTATTATTAGTAGTATTAGTAGTAGTAGTAGTAGTAGTAGGATTACCATTCGATTCAATATCTTTTATTGATTGTTTGCTCATATCTAATTTATTGATGTTTGATAAATTTAACATGGATAAATTTCCATTCATTAAACTAGGTATTGATAAAGTCGATAAATGTGATGTAATAAAACGTGTTTTTAATGTTTCTGGTAAATCTTTTAATATTAATTCTGTTTTACTAGGACGCATAGTAGCATGATGCATTTTTAATGCAATTTTTTCATAAATTTTTAACATTTTTTGATTATATATATCTGTATCACGTTGTAATAATTTACGTAAATATTGTTCATTAAAACGTTGTATTAAATCACGTATAGCATTACGTCCAATTGTCCCAATAAGACATTCTATACCAGCTAATGTTTCATCAATAATACTATCATTTAATGAATCAAATAAACTTAACATTTGTTTATTTTCCATACGTATACGTAATAGTTTTACTAATGGTTTCATTGTAATACCCATAAAACCAACAGTAAATAAGATAATAAATAATGTTGTTGTAATAATTAGTTCTCTATTATATAAACCATTAGGACCAAGTTTATTTGGTAAAATTAATACAGATAATGAGAATGCTACAGCACCACGTAAACCACCATAAATTAATACAATTTGTTGAGTAAATGTAATTTGTGTATTCGATAATGATGTATAATTTACAATAGCAGTAATTAAAAATACAACAATAGCACGAGCTATTAAACACCATATTAAACCCCATAATATATAACCTGTATGCCATACTAATTTAATAGATACAACTTCAATACCTAAGAATAAAAATATAACAGATTCACTCATTTCTGATACAACTTTAGTTAAATTTCTAACCATTGTAATAGAATGTTTATCTAAATTATGAAATGCATATGCTGCTTGTATTAAACCACAACCAATCATTGAGATAATTCCGGACCAACCAACACAATCAGCCATAATATATGAAAAATATGCTAATAATAATAAACTAAAAGCATTTAAACGACTTTTAATACGTGTTATTAAACAGGTTATAATACCAAATAATAAACCAATTAATAAACCACCAAAACTAACAGTAAAAAATGATGCAATCCCAATACCAATCTCTTTACCAGTGACAATCTCTTTACCAGTAAATGCATCCATAATATCATATAATACTACAGTAACAGCATCATTTAATAAAGATTCACCAAATACAATATAATATAAACCTAATTCAACACCAATATCTTGAAAAATTGCTAAGACAGCAACAGGATCTACAGCAACAATTAATGAACTAAATAATAAAAAAGCTTTAATATCCATATCTAATTGTGGTTGACCAAAACCATTCATTTTATATATCCCATACATAACAAAACCAATAATTAAAAAATTTAATATAGTACCTATAACAGCAAAGATTAATACAACTCCTAAATATTCACTAAATGTTCTATTATATAAACTATAGGCTGATTCTAATACAATTGGTGGTAATAAATAAGTAAAAAATAATGCAGGAGTTAATTTCCATACAGTTTTATTATTAATACCTTGTTCAATACCATAACGTACAATTGCACCAAATATAATACCAATTATAATTAATACAAATGATTCTGGTATATAAATAGATATATATGGGATACGATGATAGGCCATTTTAATTAAGATCATAATTAATAAAAATACCATAACAGCAATATGAATTTCAAATTCATGAAATTCCCATTTGACAACAACAATTTCACTTTCAATCTGTTCATCATCAATATTATTATGATTACCAGGAATAGAATGAGTTTTATTTACATTTATAGATTGAATATGTTCTTGATTACCATTTGTTGTATATAATAGAATACAAATAAATAAACTAAGGGCTAAATTAGAATAGATCATAATCATATAGATCCCAATAACAAAATAGTTTTCTTTTTCTTCTATTCAATATGATTGATGACACATGAAAATGTTATTGTGATGTAATAAAGATAATTGTAATAGAAATGTATTGAATGTAATTAGAATCTATTAAAGTATACAATTAGTTAGTTACAAATGTTCTATTCACAATGTATAAATGGTTCACAATAATAACATTGAGTTACATATACATATATATATATATATATGGTTGATTTTCTCTCGTCTTTTTTTTGTGTTTCTTTCATTCATTTCGTTTCGGTTGATTCTTTCTCTTATTTTTTTCTTCTTTTTTTTCAAGTTCTTTATTGAAATACTTTTTGAACTAAACTAATTATTCTGTCTGTATGCATTCAGTAATATATTTCATAGGAATAAATTTTCTTTTATTTGAATATCTATTTTTTTGTATTTTTTTTATAAAAGAAAAAAAAGAAAAACAAAACAAATAAAAACTGATTTTAAACTGTGTTATTGTTGTTTGTTTATAAAATTGACCAATCAAACAATGAGAAGTTGTATGATGAAATGTATATACATACATGTACATTTTCTTTGTGTGTACCTATCATTAGTAAAGTTTATATAATATTTCAATAGTTGAAATCAGGAGCCAATTAAAGCTATACAACCATGGACAACCTGGAAGTACTGATTGGCCGTTTCGTTGTAGTACGGAACTTCTCAAAAGTGTGCATCCACGATCTCGTCCCATGAGATTCGAACCCAGGACCTATAAGTCTCGCGCACGAGCCTGAGCCAGCATCCAATGGTGTTAATGTCTAATTTCAACCAATCCACAAAATTCCTTCTGATAATAATTATCTGTTCATTAGTGACTGACTTCAAGAGACACTCTTGGAGTTCTAATGAGAAGCCGTGACCAGTAGAGTTCAACCAGGTCTGTTGTGAGATAGTAACTCACTGAATACAATGGTGTACAGTGGATCAATATCGTGAATTAGTTGAAGTTAGACATTTACACTGTTGGATGCCGACCCAGTGGTCTAATAGAATGAGCTTTCGCGTGCGAGACTGATAGGTCCCGGCTTCGAATATGCAGGTGACCGGATCGTGGGTGCGCATTGTTGAGGAGTCCCATAATAATACGAAACGGCCGTCCAGTGCTTCCAAGTTGTCCATGGTGGTCTAGCTTCAATTGACTCATGATTTCAACTATTAAAATTAATAAAATCTCCACAAAACCCCTACTTCTATAATATTATCAGAATAAGGGTCTGTAGAAATTGTAATAATTTAATGGTTATGAATGTGTATCACTGAAGAGTCTTATACTAGGATGAGACGGTGATCCAGTGCTATCAGGTTTTCCAGGATAGTCTAGATTACAGCGACTCAAGTAATCAACTATTTGATTATACAATATTGTTATTTTAGAATATATATATAGTGAGAAAGATAGATAGAGAACGGGGAGAAATCGTTACATAAACAAATTTGACTATAATTTATGAACGATCTTTGAGCGACGCTAGACTGATTTTGAGAGTGTCCACCTGATAACTAAAACCAAATGAAGGTTATAAATTAATGTGAGGAATTAAGGTTAAGAATTATATTTAGGATTTTCATCACGAACTGACATCAGCTATCATGAGAAGACTTGATTTAGCCAAATGGATGAGTGAATTTCGCGTCAAAATCTGAGACTTGTTATCTTATACCTGATTGGTTCGTCCATAAATTATAGTTTTGCTAAAAAATCTTTTACTTTCTATCATGAACTGACATCCATTGAAGAACATCACTGAAACATGAAATTAAATAAGTTAAAATTGTTGTATTAAATAATTAACTAATAACTTTTATCAATGTTTCATTTATTTCCATAAACTGATGTAAGGTGTTTTTGGACATTAGTGAATTCTATAGAAAGCTATTGAAAATCAAGAAGTATTGAAAAGTTGGTTCATTCTTCTATAGTACTGTTCAATAGTATTGTAGTGAACGAGAACACAAGTGGGAACAATCGAATATATTTAAATACAAAATTACAGAATGTGTTAGAAAAATCTGAGAACCATACAGTAAATACTTCATTTCTAAAATGTTCATTAATTGTCTCAAACTTCATTGTTCCTGCATTTACATATTAATTGTTTTCTGTATCTCGTTATTTCCTCTTCGATCATCTTGACCTTCTGCTGATAGACATTCTATTCTTGACTAGCGTTATATACTAATTATGTTGACAGATGTAGCCCACAACTTAGTATGTATACACGACTTCGTTTGGATGGATGCCACTAAGTGGCTTAGAACTTAAGCAATCACCGTTAATCCTGAGGATAATATATCCAATCCACGGTAGGGTATTAATTCAAGTCATTTAGAAACATTATAGCAGGACGAAATAGGCGACCGATGTTCACTGGTTTTCGGGAGATGTTTAATTAAGGTCAACCAGTAGTGTATACCATATTATAAATTGAATGAAGGTGTATATACGAAATATTTATATCATGGATATGATCAGTTACACGATGATGATTGAGCACTTATGTAAAGTATCAAACTTAGATAAATTACTAATTTTTTTATTAATAAACTCAAATTTATTTAGTTCTAAAAACTGTTAATCTACATTTTTTTAAACATGTACTCAAGGTAATATTGTGGTGTATGTGCTACTGATGTCGACAGTTATAAGTAGTATTTATCATCATTCGAAAGTGGTATGTCTGGTGGCAGAAGGTCAAGAAGACCGAAGAGAAGAGAACGAGAACAGAGAATGAATGATGTGGAAACGAAAGAACAATGAATTCTGAGACGGTTGATTGATATTTTGCAAATGAAGTATTTATTATATGGTTCTTAGATTTCACTAAGTGATTCTGTAATTTTGTGTTCAGATACATTCAACTGTCCCTACGTGTGTTCTCGTTCACTACAATGTGAGCGTGAATTTCTTTTCAAAAAAGGAATAGTAAATATCTACTCAAACTAAAAACAAATGAATTCAATTACCTGTTCAATGTATTCTACCCGAATTGACATTTTAGAAATTTCCTCGCTTAATATTTGTTTAAAATAAATAATTATGTATGATAACTGTGCATAGATATACTTATTAAACTTATAGAGAAGAAAACTATCCATAGTTGTTGAAGAAACTTAAGGCCATTTTTACAGCATTCATAAGTCAAATAGAGTGGATAATAATAAGCGATGTGATTAGAGTAGGACTGTCTGTATATGCTTAAGGGAAAATATATGAGAAGCAACTATTGATGGAATCCAGGAAGCACATTCTTCTGTGACGCGCGGTGTCCAAAATGTGGTACTGATACACGGTACGCTACGCTCTAACCCTTCCCGCAACCGACTAATTGAACGTGAACACAGGATTGAGAGAGAAAGTGTTTTGGAATATCGGATGAAATGCACAATTACTCATTCATTTATATACTATTCTATCCTTAGGGTATTGACCTATTGACTCCAATGTAATGCACTTGAACTTTGGGTCACTTCTAATTGTCATCGATTGATATTTTGTTACTTCTAATTAGCCGCACGTATCACATCCCTTCCTATTTATGATTCGTCAGTTGAATGCACTTGTATCCCAGTGCTGATTTTCACATTAGGACTTGATCTTAATACCTTGTGTTTTAAACTTCAAAACGTCATCTACTGAGCTACTGAGTTTAGACAACCATTTACTGATGCAAATAATGTGAGATTTCGATTCAAATCATTAAAGTAACATAATCATCCAAATTATTACAAGCTGTAAAAGGTTTACGTATAAATATGACTACTACATAATTACTGTTTAAAGGCGCTTTTCTACATTAGTTACAAGTTATATTCTTTTAAAAAAGAATTTTTACTGAAGCTAGACCACCATGAAAAACCTGGAATTACTGGACGGACTTTACATCCTAATATGGGACTCCACAGTAGTGAGCATCTACGATCCTGCCTTACGAGATTTGAACCCAGGATCCATCGGTGTCGCACACGAACGCTTTATCTCTAGACCAGTGAGTCGTCCGGCATCCAATAGTGTTAATGTCTAGCTTCAACTAATCCAAATATATTTGAGCTTTAATTCCACATATATATTTCTTTAATTTTACTGTACCGTAAAACCGACGACTTTACAGACTAATAGTTCAGAATCTTTACAAAAGCTGTAAAACGTGATTTAAATTTTTTAACGTGATGCTTGTTAATTAAGTGCCGGATACATATTAAGTTTCAAATTAATATTAAATGACATATCTAACATTGTCTTCAATAGGTTACTATCTCACAACAGACCCGGTTGAACTCCACTGGTCACTGCTTCTCACTAGATCTCCAGGAAATACCTCTTGAAGCCAGTCACTAGTGAGCATACGTTGATTAGTGACGGACGGGGCTATACACTGCTGAGGAGACCCATAATAGGACTGAATGGTCGTCCAATGCTTCCAGGTTTTCCATGTTGGTCTAGCTTCAAATGTCTCATGATCTCAACTATTGAATTTACTATAATATCCACAAAACCCTTCTTACACCAAATATGGAATATTTAGAAATAATTTCGAAACAGTAGTTATCATTATCAAGGTTTGACATGATAAGTTCAAATAAATTGAGCATTGAGTAGATTGTTATAAATAAGTGATATATTTTTAATATCTCAATGAGTAGAAAAGTTAGATCTTCTGACGTTTCGTGACAGTGTAAGCCACTTCTTCAGAGAAAAAGTAATCAACACTGTCCTGAACAATCCTTTTCAGTGTTTCCAGTTGCTATTCGTTCTTTTGATGTCCACTTTCAATCCCTAATGCAATGCGTTCTTTGGTTTTTCCGTTTTCCCTTTTCCCTTTAGGATTTCAAGTAAGCACTTTCTCCTGGACTCAGTCCGATGATTTCCACAATCCATGTTCTATCCACCTTCAGTATATTTTCTTGATTTCCTCTTCAGCTGGAAGTTGGTTTGTTCACTTTCATAGTGGGTTGTTGCTGATGGTATCCGGTCAATGAACGTTGAGTATTCTGAGTAGAAGATTGTTTATAAATACTTTTACTCTTTTAATGACGGTTGTTTTACTTTTCCAAGTTTCAGCTCCATACAATAGGACTGTCCTGACATTTGTATTGAAGATTCCGACTTTCATGATGGCTTGCAGACAGTTTTTTTTGAATTGTAGAAATGCT